CTGACGTGGCTCCCCCTGGTTTCCCAGAAGCCTCCCAGGCCCCAGAACGCCCCCCCCCTCGTCCAGTGCCTTTTGTTTCCTTATTTCCCTGAGGAAACTGACATTCCACTGGCTCCCAGGACTCATCAACCCACATACGTCCACACTGCAGATTTCCTCATTTTCTTCCTATACTAGAAGGATAACCTTTGCTCAAGTCCAAGGCTAGACCCTCCAATGTGCTGGAGCTGGCACTTGGGAGCACACAGACAGTCCTCTCAGTTGCCTCCTTCTGGGATTAGCAAACCCCTCCCTATAACTCTGTCAGGAACTGCAAAGCTCCTGCCTCAGCCTCTTGAAACTTTAACATTGAAAGGGAAATGATTCAAGACATATAGTGAAAGGACATTTGGAAATGAGAGGAAGACACTGACAGCCATCCAGATGGCTGAAGTCCAAGCTTGCATTTCAACCGCATAGCGAGCCCGTGATTTGCCCACTTCTTGCATTAGTTGAGTTCCCGGCTCTGGCCGAGGAGAGAGGAGACGTCAAGTGCTGGGAAGATTGCAATGAAGAATGGTGCTGGCTACAGAAAGCTGCTTCGATCAGCCCTGGCTACAAAACCCATGACCTTCTTGCCTGCAGGGCACCCATGACGATCTTCCTACCCACCATCCCTTCCTGCCTCCAGTCCTGAGCCATCGTCAGATCCCCTCATGCTCCAGCGGACAGGTTCCAAGGAGGCACATAATAGGCCCCAAATCTACAAGATTCTGCTTGCTTCTGTCTATAGTCAGACGAGTGTGTCTGTACACAGATTCCTGTATTCTCAGACCAGGAAGATTTCCCTGGTATTTAGGAAACAATAGGTGTGTTTTCTACTTTGGGGTTAGTCTGTGTGTGTGAACAGCTACACATGGGGCTGGTGAGGTGGCTCAGCTGATAAAGAGGCTTGCCGCGAAGCAGGACTTCCTAAGTTCCATATCTGGGACCCACATGGTGAAAGAGACTCCTGAAAGTTGTCCTCTGATGCCCTACGTGAGCGCTGTGTCCACACACATGTGCACACATGACCACACACACACAGTATTGATGGTTTTTGTGAAGATGTGATAGCAGTAAGCTGCACAGATGATGGAAGACTGGCTATCTGTCTGTCTGTCTGTTCTGCTCCCCTTCCTGCTGACACAGGAAGAGCCCCGTGGAGCCTCCTCCCCCAAGGCTGAGAGGCATCCTGGTCACCACTGGGGTGGCGAGAAATACTTTGGCCTTTGGGGGTCAAGGTTTAAGCTAAGGGAACACTATGCTCTGCCTAAGTGTTCCTTCAAGCTCTGTGCTTTAAAACTGTGGTTCCCAGCCTGGGGCGGGGGGGGGGGGGAGTCCTGAGAAATGGTGGAAACTTTTGAAAAGTAGAGCCTAGCAGAAGGGAGTTGGGTGACTGGGGTGTGAACATGGAGAGCATATTGGACCATGGCCCCTTCCTGCTTCTCTGTTGGCCTCTCAGACTCCAGGAGGTGAGCGGTTTCCTCCACCACCGGCTCCAAAGCAACAAAGCCAACCAACCAACCACGGACTGGTTGTGAACCAAAATTCACCTTTCTTTCTTATGTGTGTTCCTCGGGTATTTTATCACAGTAACAGAAGTCTGACTAATAGGAAATTTCGGAGTAGATGGCATGATAAAGTCATCAATTGGCTAATGGAAGACCTTGGGATGAGTTTCCTTCCCATTCAAAGTACTGAGTAATGCCTATTCCACTTCACTGGCATCACTAGGATTCTGATGCATCTAAGACAGAATAGAACACTGAGGGAATGAAAGCTTTGTAGAGAGAAGGTCATTAATAACAAACTAGAAAAAGAAGCAATACTCAATTGGGGAATTTACATAAATAAGGTCCTAGAACTCCACACTTTTAGCTTTGGAATGCTATGAGCTTATGCAAACTGTTCTTATTTGTACTGGGAAATCTAATGGTCCTGGTCTGCATGACCATGGTCTGCATGGCCCTGGTCTGCATGGCTCTGGTCTACATGGTGCTGGTTTGCATGGTTCTGGTCTGCATGTTCCTGGTCTTCATGTCCCTGATCTGCATGTCCCTGGTCTGCATGGCCCTGTTCTGCATGGTCTTAACCTGCATGGCTGTTATCACATAACTGGCAATTGCCCACACAGCAGCTTACACTAACTTTCCAGGTCTGTATACCAGCCAGCCTAACTGATCTCCTTCACATGCCATAAATGACTTGCAAGAAACTGTACCAAAACTCACCCTAATGAAGTAGTGCTTTTCCCAAGTGGAGATCCTGTGCATGTCGCCCTGTGCTGTGGATGCCATTGTGGCTACTACCTTCCAAAAATGCACCTCCAAGGTTAGAATGAGCACTCGAGTTTGTCTGAGGGATGTTTGTTGGAGTTCAGCATTTTCTTCATTACCTCTGGACCAAGGAATTCACTTCACAACCATAGAAACAAAGAGAAGCATAGAGAACGCTGGTTGCTGGCTGGGGCAGGTTCATACTCAGTGAGCTTTCTTATGCAGTTCATAATCACCACCTGCCTGGGATATGGTGCCACCTACAGAAGGGTGGACCCTCCTACACCAATGAACAATCAAGACAACTCCCAACACACACACACACACACACACACACACACACACACACACACACACACACACACGCCAATCTGGTGTACGCAATCTCTCCAGTGAGACTCTCTTCCCAGATCATTTTAGTTTGCGTCAAGGTAACAGTTAAGGCTGTCTAGGAAACTGGGCCCACACTTTAACCCCAGCACTCCAGAGGCAGAGGGGAGGCAGGCCATCTAGGGCTGCATAGTGAGATACTGCCTCATAAAGCAAAAACAGACAAAGAGCGAACAACCACCTCTCAGAACCCTAACCTGTCCAGAATGGTGGTGAGGGTAGGGGGCTCACAAGTCAAGAGCTTTCTCCTTTGTACTTTCTTCCTCCTGCCTACTCGGGCACCCTCCTGCGCAGCTCTGGGTAGCACACTGTGCCTCTCGTGTGCAGGGATCTGTGAGTATACACTACTGTCTTGATGGTGGTCATTCCCGTATCTGTATCTGACCAGACTTAATTCAAACAGTTCTGAGTGAGTTTTTAGAACAAGCAGGATTGAGTGGTTTTTGACGTGAGGCTGTGTGTGCCTCCACACAGAGGGCAAGCTTTCATGGGAGGGGTTCCCAGAATTTTAGTCCTTTTACATATTTTAGGCCCCCCCAATTGTTGAAGATACAAAGCTCACCTTCTAACCAAGAGTCCCCAGCACAGACTCTTGCCTCATCAGCCTTCTTCGCATCCAGTTCATGGGCGCACCGTTAATCAGATGCATTTATCCTGACCTTTGTGTGAGGAGCCAGCAACATGAATAACCAGGGAGGGAGGAGAATTGATTGTGGCAGCAGCGGTGGCGGCAGCAGCAATGGCTGATTTCCAGGGACAGCGGAGAGAGCAGTACCAGCGATGCTTTGAGTTTGGATGCCTGGCTCTGCAGCCCACCCCACCACACAGGCCACGGGGCTGCTCTGGGCTGAGGCGGAGCTGATGACTCCTGTCTTCCCACCTGACTTCCAAGCAGGCCCACCAGTTTTGTAAGTGCTGCTGAGAGCTGCCCATTGGCTTTATCTTCTGCTTTACTTAAATGGTGGTTGTTCCTATTGCTTATAGCTGAGGATCTTGACAGATATAGTCTGATACCTTCTTTTCCTCCTTCCTCTTTTCTTTCTTGCTCCATCTCTTCCTCTTCCTCCTTCCCTCCATCTCTGCTTCTTTCCTCTTCCTCTCCTTCCCATCTTCCAGTTTCCAGATGAAGAAGACACGCAGCCAGTTCCATTTTTGCATGTGCCAAGATGTTGTAGTAACATTTTTAATCATGGTTGCTGAGACAATGAGTGTTTCCTGATTTTAACAATCAAATGCTCACCAATAAATATAATGGATGCCAATGTTTGTGTTTGTACAAACATCACAGTCACTCTCACTCTTGGAGGCAACTCAGGGTGCTTAAACTAACTCATGTAGTCCTCATAGAAAGCCTATGGATGGGCACCACCATTTACAGCCCCCTTTACTTGCGAGGAGACTGAGGCACAACCACCTTTTGAGACCTGCCTGAGGTCACAAAGTCATGACTGAGAAGAACTGGAAATCGAACTCAGCAGCCCATGGCCATCAAAGACAGAAAGCCGAGAGAACCAGCAGTTCAATGGGGAGGCAGAGCTCGGAGTTACTGAGATGGGAGGCGCTGAGGGGAAGGGGCAGTGAGGAAGGAGAGGTGAAGGTGTAAGGAAGCCTGGGACTGCTAAATGTGGGAGGGGGGCGGGGTGCCGTGGAGATCACAGGCCAAGTGCACAACCCTGGCTGTGAAACCCTACAAATCGTAAAGGCATCGTCAGCTTATAGATTTCGAGCATGGCATCCTGGCATCTCTAGAAGATAAGAAATCGCGGTCACTGGCAAGGAGGGTAAGAAGACATGCCTGAAGCCAAAGCAGGCAGGGTCTGTCCCTGGCATCCTCAGACAGTGGTTGGAGTGAGGCGATATTTTGCAGGTAAGAAAGGACGGCAGCAACCGCGGACGGAGGAAACTGTCAGCTGTATGTCTTACAGCTCACTCCTATTCTGCTGACAACTGTACATTGTAATGACAGATAGACCTACCACTCTGAGGGACCTCATCTGAGGTGCATTCAGGATCCAAGCACACTCCAGGTGACAGTCCTGGAGCCTAGGGTCCTTCAGAGCCGGGAGCAAGCCATCATAGTAATTGGCTGAACAGAAGCCAGACCTGCGTCTGTCTGTGCTGGACACAAAGTGAATAGTCATAGACTCTTCCTCCTCTCCTCCTTCCAGTGTGTGTGTGTGTGTGTGTGTGTGTGTGTGTGTGTGTGTGTGTGTGTGTGTGTTAGAGAGAGAGAGGAAGGGAGGGAGGAAGGGAGAGAGAGAGAGAGAGAGAGAGAGAGAGAGAGAGAGAGAGAGAGATGAGAACACAGTATGAGAGCACAGTATGAGCCTGTTTCCTTTCCTGCTTTGCCCGTGGTCTCTCCCGGGGGCAGGCTTGGACTTCACCTGCAGAAGCTCTAGTGCTGGTGGCTTTCCAAGACAGCCTCTTCAGTGGCACCTGCATGAAGCCTCCACCATCTCCTGGAGCTGCATAGCCCCGGAAAGACTGACCGCTCTGTTGAACTTGGCCACCCACTCCCAGGAGGCTAGCCCGAGTCCCTCATCCCAACAGTGCCTCCTGAAACCTCCGGTCTCTGCACCTGTGCATGCATGAGCTGAAGCAACTGAGCTCCATTCCGCACTTGTCAGCTGCCTATAGTCTTCCAGCTGACCGGTTCCCTGCATGCGCTGAGTGGCCTGTCTTCTTCTATGACCACAGGTAAGTGAGCAAGTTATTCCTAAGGCTTAGACTAGGGGTGCTGAGCATGCTGGGGAGACTGTGGGTGTGAGCCCAGAAGGAAGTTAGCAACTTATGAGCACTTGACCATATCAATATGCTGGAAGTCACCTGCTGGGCAGAATTCAGCCCCCAGGTTGACCCTGCTGGACCACTTCAGAACCCTGTGAAAGCAACGCTTCTGAGTGGCGGGGGCTACTCCTGTCCTGTAGTAGTGTCTGCTTCCGTGCCCTTATCACCACCCTTCTCTTGTTCCTTCATTTATTCACTCGGCAAATATTCTACACACTTAGGTGAATTAGACTGACAGACAGGCGGAGGGGTTTACTGACGTGAAAGGTAGCAAGTCCTCATGGCTTGTGTGGATCAAGGCTGGACTTGGTAGACAGGGAACTGCATCAGCTGATGAAGGTACACGACCTTCAAGATTCCAGCTGACCTTGAGAGGTTGAGCTCCTGTGATGAGCAGGTCACTGAGCAGCCATGCCACGGAAGCAGAGTGCACTCCCCATCTCAGGAGCACGGGAGTGGATATTACTTGGAAAAATGAACCATCGGTAACATTTCCTCTGATCTGGGGCGTCTCTTTGGTGGGGAACTGGGACTGCCTGTCTGGTGCTGCATGAGGGGTTCCTGGACGGCACTCGGGAGGGGGAGCTAAGTATGTCTGGGGGAAGAAGGAAGAAGCAGTGTTTCTGGAAAGGGCAGACTGCATTCCGATGAGTGAGCAGCTAAGGGGCACTGCAGTAGGAAGGTGGACAGAGAAGAGGGTCCGGGTCGCACTGGCTTCAGTGGAACCAGACTTAGGTAGATGAGGAAGGCTGTAAAGGGTGCTGGGGCTGTGGAGGATGTGCTAGACCCTGGTGAGCATCACCCCAATGGGAACATTCACCCCCGAGCCCTTTACGCACGAACAGTGTTTGTTTGTGTGTTTGTTTGCATAGACGTCGTTTACCCGGACTTGATACATAGTGACATCACTCCACTGTCATCCTTATCCCAGAACTGCTAATCCAGCGATGCTGGGGCTCACAGTTCAGAGCCTCTCACTTTAAATTATCTTTGTAACTAGTGCTGGAAGCTTACTCTAATTACTGCTGATTACCTGGAACAATTTCTCCTTTTGGTTTCCGGTGACAAATTAATGAAATGATCATAGTGGGCTGATTACAAAAGGTAAAAATCTGAGGCAAGTCAAACACATCCTCTGGAGCCAATTGCATCCCATTTACATGATGCTCCAGACAGCCCTTAACAGACATCTCTCCCTGGATCTCTAAACAGCCCAACTTCAGCATGCCTGCACCCCTGGCCTCATTAATAGGAGGAAGCAGATCTTTATTCTTTATTCCAGTAACCTTGGAAATTGCAGCCTTTGGTATCATTTGAAAGGAAGAGTCAGTGACCTGCATACAGGAATATTCTAGAGCTTTGGATCCAGGTGATCCCAGCTTGGTAATGAACACCTCTCCTCTCACAGATCCTAATCTTAACGGTGGCTTGGCAATGATGGTCATAGTGTTGGTGTTTCCAGAACACAGCCAAGTATTGACTGAGCTCTTGCATAGTCACCCATGTGGTTGATGCCATCACCATATAATTTGGAAGCAGAGAGCTCGAGCTTGCTCCCAGTCTTATCTTATTTTTTAAGCTCTATGAACTAGGGTAAATCTGTCGACTTCCCCGAGTCACAGCAGCCTTTTAATTATACACAGGAGACATTAGGATTTTTCCTCCAGACCTTCCCAGGAGTGATGTAAGTCCTCATGAGGGCAAGGGTACCAAAGTGTTTTGTGACCCTGAGGGATATCAATGTAAACTGTACTCAGGAAGACTTTCTAGAAGCTAGCATAAAAGGAGACTCTGGAATAGTCCTTCCCAGCGCTCATCCAGCCTATTTTCCAGCATAAGAACAAAACAGTGTATCTTTATGCCCATGGGATGCTGAATATAAGGGACTGAGGTTTTTAATTTTTATCATTTATCATTTTATGTGCACAACCGTTTCTTGGGCATGTATGTCTATTCACCATGTGCATGCCTGGTGCCTGTGGAAGCCAGAAGCGGGTATCAGATCCCTGGAACTAGGTTCACAGGCCATTGTGAGCTGCATAATGGGCATGGGTGCTGAAGACTGAACCCAGGCCTCAGCCACTGAGCCATCTCTTCGGGCCCAGGAACTGAGTTCTGTAACTCCTCTATGTAACCCCTGGCTGGTTATGGCAATGGGAGTGAAACCTAAGTCACTCACCCATGCAGGTACATTTGAAGGCCTGGTGACCTTGAAGTCCCCTAGGGTAGAGGATGAGAGAAAGAGAGCAAGAGAGATAAAGGACTAGCCACATATTCCAGGTCTCTCAGCTTAACCCAGCTAAAGTCTTTCTCAGGTATTTGCATAGAATCAGACTTAAGGAAGGACTTCCCCAAACAGATAGCTGTTTAAGTCTTGAAGAGAAGCCCAAGGAACTAGGGGCATCCCTAGATGTCTTCAGAACACACACGGGGGACAAATGAATGCATCAGGTGGCACACCAGGGTGTGTGTGACAGGTAAGTTATCTGAAATTATTCTTTCTTGTGGTTCCTTTCCGCTGTCTTCCAAGTAACTTTGTTCTCTGTGGTGGTATTTTGTTTGTGTTCTAACAAATAAAGCTTGCCTGGAGATCAGAGGGTGGAGCTAGCCACTAGTTAACCATAGAGGCCAGGCAGTGGTGGCACACACCTTGAATCCTAGCACTTGGGAAGAAGAAGAAGCAGGAAGATCAGGAGTTCAAGGCCACCCTGGGCTACACAAGATGGAGCCACTCTAAAAGAGAAACAGAGCCAAGTGGTGGAGGCACACACCTTTAATCCCAGCCCTAGAGAGGTGGAGACAGGAAGTGGTGAGAGAGTCTCTACGGCTGGGCAGAGAGAGGAATACGGGAGCTCAGCCCCTTTTTCGGCTGAGGGGTTGGCCAGGTAAGAAGTGGCTGTGGCTTGCGCCTTTACTTCTTTGATCGTTCAGCACTTATCCCTACATCTGGCTCCAGCTTTTTATTATTAAGATCAATTAGAGTTGGTGCCACCATTCTCCGTTCCTGTTTCTCAGTGTACACATCGTTGGCCTTGGCAAAGTGTGAAGTAGGGAAAGAAATGAATAAAGAAGAGGTAGTCAGGGAACTGTGGAGATGCCTTGATGGATAAAGAGCCTGCCCCACAAGTGTGCAGGCTGGAGTTCAGAAGCCAGGTGAAAGCCAGGCCGGTGTGGAGGCTGGTTATAATCCCAGCATTCCAGAGGCAGAGACATGATGACATCCCCGACGGCGAGCTGGATAGCCAGAATTGGCAAGCTTCAGGTTCAGTGAGAGCCTCTACCTCAAAAAATAAAGTAGAGATTGATTGAGGAAGACACCCACTGTCAACCTGGGGTCTCTATATGTCTAGCACACACACACACACACACACACACACACACACACACACACACACACGCATGCAAGCAAACCCATGCAATAGAACGCACACATGCACGAGTTACACATAAATTAAGTAACCAGGTTGTGACAGCAGATTCTTCCCCTGCTCACATTTCCTAGCCCCACTGGCAAGCCTTGGTCTTCCCCATCCGCTCTCCTGGCCTCCATTCTCCCCAGGCACATTTTACAGGAGGCACAGCATGAGCCGAGAACTTGGTCTTCATTTCCAGTCGCAGGTTGACAACAGGGCTTCTGAGTCCTCATCCCAAGGAGGGAGTGCACAGCAGGATTCCACTCTTCTTGGAGTCCCTGCCACCTTTGCCCCAGGTTGGGTGGCACGCGAGAGTTCAGATGTCGTAAACCTGGTGAGATTACAGATGGACCCGGACGGACTGTCACTACTGTGATAAAACACAGGTAACACAGTGAACCATGCCCTCAGCCCATCAACAGCAAGTACAGCAACATGGTGTCCTGCCGTCACCTCTGTCTCCAGAACAATTGACACTCTGCTCCCCACCCCACCCCCACACACTCTACTTCTGTCTCTGGGAATCTGATGACTCCAGGTGTGTCCTCCTGGAAGTGGAGTTATACAGTGTCTGTCTCTTTGCATCCATCTTATTTCAGTTAGCGACTCAAGGTCTGCCTCTGTCACAACCAAGGTCAGGACCTTCCTTTTCTTTAAGGCTATATAGTCTTCCACTGTCTGCATAGACAATGTTTTCTCTATGATGTCTCTTGGATATGTGGGTTATTCCTTCCATCACACACTTCACTCTGATCGCTTATATCCGTTCAGATGACAGACAGGAATCTAAGGTCTATGTGATTTTTGAGTGAAGCCACACCCTCGAGGCAGGAGGATGACATACAACACACGATGGGTTTTGTTCCGTACTAAGAAAGACGTTTCAATATTATGCTTAAGGTAGAGAATTTGGAAAATGTAGAAAAGTGTCAATTAGTTATCAGCGCCTCTAACCCTGGCACCCGGAAGACAACAGGCGACGGCAGGCACACAGGAGAAAGAAAGATGAAGAGATGAAAGAGCATGCTGGCCCTGATCACTCTTCCTGGGGGTGAAGGAGCCGGGCTTGGGGAAGCAGGCTCAGCACTCCAGAGGTGGCTGAGGATGGTGCCATGTGTGAGGGCTGTTTTCCATGGCAGGTCTTCCTGCTGCTTCCCTGTCGGGACGCTGTTCTAGAAGAGTCTGCCAGAGCTGACACCTTTGGGAAATCGCTAGCCTTTTCTACCTGCTCCCTGGGACATTTGAGGAGGGCTTAGGACAAAGCCAGGCCCCTCTACGGGAACAAGAACAGAGCCGGGAAAGGCGTGGCCATGCTGTGCGCAGCATAGCACGGCATAACCGTAACCGGTGACCGGGGCAGTGTCTTCCCAAGGGAACAGGGGATAAACGAAAACGTCAAAATGTTTCAAGTATTTTTTTCAAGATCATAATGTGATCACATCATTTCTGCTTTCTTTTGCATTTCTCACTCCAAACCATCCCATGCACCTCCACCCCCTTGCTCTTTTTCAAATGCATGGCCTCTTTTTTAAAACACTTGTTGACATATATACATTCCTACATACATTAATAAAACCTACTCAGTCTGTATAATCCTGCTCATATGTACAAGGGCTGGCCGTTTGGCATTAGATAACTAATTGGTGTGCTCGTCCCTGGGGAGACTATTTCTCCAGCTCTCAACATTCCTTACTTGTCCATAGTTCTTTGGGTAGGGCTGAGGCTTCATGAGCCTTGCCCATCCATGTTAGCATGTCTATTGTAGTCGTCCTTGTTCAGCTCATGGTTAGGCAGCCATGTTGATGAGACTTCGTGGGTGTAGCTTCTGAAGTTTCTAGGAGACTGGATCTCACCGCAAACCCCTGTTTCTATGGCTCTTACAATCTTCCCACCAGGTTTCACAATGATCTGGAGCGTTAGGTGCAGGAGATAGTTACAAATGAGTCAGCTGGGACCAGATGGTCTCTCTATGCCTCCAAGAGAAGTTTCCTTGATGAGGTGTGAGGACCTCGCTTGTGGGCTAGACCCTGGAGGAAGACTGCAGAATCTGACTGGGTGAAGGTGTTGGATGTGGTGGGGGAGGGGCCTGTGGGTCAGGGGTCAAAAATCTCAATTTTTCAATGAGTTTCTGAATTGAGACCTTTGGTGAAAATCGACGCAGGAAGAGCTTACTCCTAAGATACACCCTGGAGATGTCAATTATCGTAGTAAGTATTTCCCCCAAACTGCAGCATATTGATGCTCACCTGCTCACTCTTTCCCTACTTGGCACAGTCACTTGGCACTTGGCACTGGGTCACAGGGCATTCACCCTCCAGCAGCAGCCCAAACGCCTGGCCCTCCCCTTCAGTGTTGGGAGTTCACATATGGACACCTATGACCCCACTGGACTGTGGACCTGTATCTGGGAGGTTACAGCTTGTCCTACAGATAAGCTGAACCGCCAGTGGTGTTAGGGACATGACCAGGACTCAAAACCGTGTTTGCAGACTCTGGATGGGGGCAGGAGCACAATGCAGGGTGACCATGGTGTGGGGGAGAGACGGCAGCTTGCTGGTGATGCTAGCCTCTCTGCTGGTTGTTTGGGAGGGGGACAGGACAGACCAGAGCATGAGGGCCAGAGAACGGTAGCTTCCCGGCTCCATTGGTAAGGATTGGGACTCCTATTCCTGCATGGATGTGGCTGCTTCTATGTTTAAAGCACTCTCTTATTCATGTTTTCTGAAGCCATGGTTAAGAACACACAATATAAAATTAATTATTAGGGGCATTCAGGGCTTTAAGAACATTAATACACCAATCACCATTCCAAAACATTCTGGAATGTCCCAGTACATCCTCATCACTGTCAAAAGGAAACCTCGTGTCTGTGCTAAGAGCCAGTATTCTATCTCTAGGCCATATACACACAGCATCCCACATGGACATTCGCATATATAAACTGTGTATGTGATGGTGCACATGTGTGTGGGTGCACATGTATGCACATATGTTTAGAGATCAAAGGACAGCCTCAGATGTTCTTCAGGCATTGTCGCTTTTTATTTTTTACATTTATTTATTTATTTATTTATTTATTTATTTATTTATTTATTTATTTATTTATTGAGATAAGGTTGCTCACTGGGACCAGGGCTTGCTGACTAGGTTTGGCTGGGTGACCAGGAAGTCCCAGAGGTCACCTGTCTCTACCTCCCCTGTGCTGGTATTACAAGTACATGCCCTTACACCCAGTGTTTTAAGACAGGTCTGGGGCTCGAACTCAGGTCCTTGTGTTTGCAAGGCAAGCACTTTACCAACTTAGCCATCTCCTCAACCTCTGAATATGCAAACTCTTAAAGGCAGTACTTAGCAACCATTGTAGTCATGTGATTGAGCCCTATGCTATGTAAAATAACTTAGTAGATTAGGATGCTGCTCCTCTCCAATTCTCCCATGTGAGGCATTTTTAACCGCCATGAGTATCTGTCTTTCTCAACCCCAGGACCTTTCTGCATCAGTTCCATGTCCACCATCCCATCGTCTACAGAGGATGGTCACATCTTACTAACCAAGAACATTTTTAAATAACAGCCTTTTGAATTACGATCCATCATTTGTAAAGCACAAGATTTGGTCAATTTTATTATATTCGCAGAATTATGCAACAACCACCTCCATGTCATTCCAGAATCGTCTCCAAGTCCGTACCCTGCCCCCAAAGACAGCCCGTTGATCATCCCCACTCCCTTCCACTCATTCATCCGCATCAGGTTTCCAGATTCACCTGACCTGGAATGCACCCACCGACAGACTCCTGCACTGTGTGGCTGGCTTCTTCCCCAGAGCAAGTTTTTGAAGTTCATCCCGCCAATCACAAATGCCATGTGAGCACTTGATTCCTCCTGATGCCTGCACTATGTCCCATTTTTTAGCTATGCCACCCTTTGCTCCATTGTTCATTGCTGATGGGCATTTGGTTGCCTGCATCTTTGGGTCATTGTCACTAGTAGCCACATTCTTCTGCTGGCCACCATTTTCCAGTATGGTTATCCCCACTTCATAGATGAAGAGTTGAGGCCGCTATGGAAGGAATGTAGTGCTTTCCTCTGTGAAGGTCAGTTGTGTCCTAGCTTGTCAGCAATTGACTCTGGAAGAGAGGAGAAAGCTGCTCCTCCATGAAGCAAAGCAGCCAAGGCCCAGCACTCCAGGCAGGCCCACGGACAGCCGTTCCCTCAGCTTCCAAACCTTCGTGGAGTATGAAGGACAAAGACACTACACGTCACATCTCTTGACCCTAAGAGTCCTTCCCTTGGCTTATTCAGTTGCAGGGGGGAGACAGGACCTCGCGGAAGCCAGCTCCTAGGGATCCAAGGGAGACCAGGACCCTCTGAAGCCATGGCCCCCTCCCATCCTGCTCTCCAGTCCTGCATACGTCTCTGTTTCTGGTGTCTCCTTCCGATGTCAGCAGGTGAGTGGGGGCCACCACTATTACTCGGACTTCATCTTACTCCTGTGCGCTCACAGACCCCATGGTAGACTTTCCTGAAGACCAGCTCACTTCAAGGCTACGGGGGGCATTCAAGGTCATTGGCTGGGTGGCCAGTACCACAGGGTGAAGACAAGGGGCTGTCTTCTCTAGCACTAGCAGCTTTGGTACCTTGAATGCCCCCAAGCTTTTCAATACTCTTGTCTACAAAATGCAAACAGCATCCATCATGGGCCACTCTAGGGTACTATGGGGATGAAGGAAGCTTGCACCCAGCACATAGGCTGGGACAGGTATGTGGGGGCACACATGGTGGCTGTGGTCATTGCCCTGCTTTCTGTCCCAGTGGCTGCTGGGCCTTTTTTTTTTTTTTCTAAGGTAGTTCATTGTCTGCTCAGGCAGCGGAGCCCCAGAATGGGGATGCTATTATGCAAAATCACAGTGGGAAAGACATGATAAATTTCAGCAGACAGTTTTGCAGAGCTTTTTGCCCAACTGATGAGACCTGGTCAGAGATGGTGATATAAGAACTCAGGGTGGTACCCTACATGGGAGATGTTCTCATGGGCATCAGTAGCTTGTTAGAAGAGTGGATGGAAAGGGAAAAAGATCTCACCATCAGCCAGCTCCCAGCAGTGGGTGAAGCCCTTCTCCAGCCACCCTTGGGCGGCTCTTTGGTTCTGGCTGAGACTTGTTTGGTTCTATGTCTGAGCTTTCTTGCTCGGTTGAGGCAGTCCTCACTCCCTGACTCTTCACTTGATATCAGGAAGGGCACCGCAAGTGTATGCTGCTTGTATGGTGTCCTTGGGGCTGTGTTAAGTGCTGGTGTGCATTAATCTACAGACTCGCCAATGGGGTTTGAGATGTACTTCCTGTTTGTATCCCCATGCTGAGGCTACGTGATGGTGAGTGTCTCTGCTTTGATGGGAGAGGGAAGGAAAACCACAGGCTCACCTCCTTGGCCTCATGCAGACTCCTTTTCTCTTTTATTCTTATCCCACAGTGTTGGCCCAGCGGGGCTCGCACACTCAGGCTGAGGACCGCCTGTTCAAACACCTGTTTGGAGGCTACAATCGCTGGGCACGGCCAGTGCCCAACACTTCAGATGTGGTCATCGTGCGCTTTGGACTATCCATTGCCCAGCTTATAGATGTGGTGGGTCTTCCCTTTCTCCCTGTGCTCCCTTAATCAGCCCTGCAGCCCACCTGATTTTTCTCATGGTCCTCCCTGGATTCAGCTTAGCCCTTCTCCCACTAACCCTCAAAGCCCACCCTGGCTACAGATTACAGCTACCTAGTTGGGTTGCCATGGTGCCTTCCTTCCCAAGCCTTGGAGCCCCTAAGAGCATGGGTTGTCAAAAGATAGTTTTCTAAAACACATGTCCAAAGTCCCCCTTCATGTCCTGGGTGACCCTGAGGAATCTGAGTGCTAGTGACTGAGTCAGGAGAAGTGTCTGGGCTTGGGTGTCCTGTGAGTGGGCCCCAAAAGTGCCTCCTAGGCACTCCATTTTCTGGGCTGGTGTGTCAGTCACCCCAATTGCTGTTACTCTCTGTCTCTGCTACCCCAGGATGAGAAGAATCAAATGATGACCACCAATGTCTGGTTAAAGCAGGTAAGCCTTCCCTTGTAGGATCTGACAGGCATGACCCCAGTCCCCAGCCCCTTCTAGGACCTCAGATGCTGAATGCACGGGTCATGATCAGTAGTCACTTAAGGTGTGAGGTAAGGCGGGATGCTCTCCTCGGGGGCTGCTTTTGAATGGCCATGATCTTACTTCACTGTTGCCCATAGCACCAAAGGATCCATTGCTAGAAGCAAGCACTTCATAGTCCCAGGTCCTGCAGGATAGCTCACAGGACAGCTTACTGAATCATTGCCCACTACCTCACAGAGCAAGGGGCACCCAGATGTGCCCAGCTCCAACACCCATCTTCTACGTGTGGCTCAGAGCCTGTTCTGCCTGACAAAGGAAGCCAGAGCTCACAGGCATAAAGCAGCGACCCATTTACCACTGCACATGCATTTGTGACCTGGTGCTCAGAGGGCTGTCTCTGCTTTGAATGGTGACCAAGGTACTTGGTAGCACCTGGCCAATTGCGGTTAGTCTGTTGCTGTCTAAAATGGTTTCCCTTACATGCCCGGCCCGTAGAGGGGTGTTTGGAAAGCTCTGAAGGATTCTGAAAGGCTGGGCTCCTAGCTCCTTCCATGCACACCCACAGGTTCCTTCCCTAGTGTCTCTGACGGGAGAATTAATGGTTTCTCAGTTGGTGGTTCAAGCCTCCCGTAGTGAAGGTCCCAAGAGACAGAAAGTAGAAGCTGATGGTCATGTATGGACCTAAAGTGGTCCAGCCTCAATCCGATGGAATTCTACAGGCTCAGTCAGTAAATGAGCTGGAGACAGGAGGAGACAAAGATAGCATCTCTCCATGGAAAGAGAACTAAAGGGTGTGTGGAGCTCTGGGGTGGGCTGCGGTTGGGCAGGCTCCGGGACTGAGGCCTGAGCAGAGTGGGAATCTTACCTTACCCCTCCTGTCTGCCCAGCCAAACCCAAGGAGTTCAAGTGGAGATGACAGAAGACCATGGCATGGGAAGCTAGCCCTTGCCCTCAGCTTATTACTCTGGCCCCCTGGGTACCTGGCTGGTCCTGTCTCAGAGGCTAGCATGCAGAAAACTGCAAGGACCAATGATGGCATCTCTGAGTTATTCAAACAGATCTCCTGCTCGCTTGGGCTGGCTTGTGCATAATCCCCGACTCACTGGGTCCTGGAGGGTGTCTGGCTGTGTGATAGCTACTTCTAAGTTAGACACTTGGGTCAGAGGTTGCTCTGAGAAAATTGCATCTGACACTGTTCACCCCTGAGTCATTGGAGGTTCTGAGCCTCATCTCTACAGATGAACCAATGGGAACTGGAGTAAGAAAGAAGCCTTGAAAGGCATACAGTCATGTCATGGAAGGGGGCAGATCTAGAACCTGGGTCACCACAATTATCCTGGTCACCTGTGTAGGAGTAGAGGAAAGAACACTCTGATGGAGCCAGGCCCTCCACAGCTGCCTGAGATGAGCCTGAGATGCTGGAGAGTTATTAACCCTCTGGGAGCCTCACTTTCCCCATCTGTAAAGTGGACGACTCATCTATCATATGTCTATGACATTCAGATGTCCCCATTTGATGTCAGTGTCCCCAAAAGTTATCTGAACCTGAAATCCTAAAAGATGACCTCGACAGAGAGTCAGAACTCTGTTTTGGGGACTGAAGGGTATAGCTTAGTTTGGTACAGTGCCTGCCTGGGAAGCCCTGGGTTCAGTTCCCCGGTACCACATAAGTTGGGTGTGGTAGCTCATGCATGCAATCCCAGTGCTTGGGAGGTGGAGGCCAAGGAGCTGAAGTTCAAGGTCATTTTACTGTGATAGCAAGTTGGAGGCAACGTGGCTACATAAAACCCCATTAAACAAAACAAACAACAACAAAGCAAACCAAATCTGGTTTTAAAGCCCACCCGGGCCTGCTGTGGTGGAAGCTTAGTTGGGACCTAGAGCATTCTCTTTCTGACAGGACCCCTGGATAGGGGGGGTCTCTGGAGCATAGTTTGAAGGTCACAGCTCCTGGCTTCACTCTCCAGCTCTGGCAGGCCCTACATTGAAAATGAGTGATGCACAACACATTCGAGTGTCAGAACAAGGGCCAGAGGCAGGGCTAGAGTGGTGTGTGCCAGTGCTGGCATCCCGGGATTTTGGTTACTGACGTCAGAGCCAAACAGGCTGGTTATCGGAGATGGTACCCATGTCAGAGCCTTTTTCTCGCATCACCGCCCCTTCTAATTCTGTGGGGCTAGGGGAGGGACTTGGGGACCTCTGAGTCCCACAGCTCATCTCAGAGCATCTTGGGGTTCCCCATGCAGCAGTGCCCTGATATGACTGACCACTCTCCTGAGCAGGAGTGGAGTGACTACAAACTGCGCTGGGACCCAGCTGAGTTTGGCAACATCACCTCCCTCCGGGTCCCTTCAGAGATGATCTGGATCCCAGACATTGTCCTCTACAACAAGTAAGAAGCCGTTTGTTAATTCAAATATATCCCAGGAGTGGGGAGATGGTTCAGGGAGTAACAGCCCTTGCTGTGGAAGCAAGATCTGAGTTTGAATCCTCAGCAGCCACTTGAAAGCTGGGAATGTGTGTGGGTAGTGGTGGTGCTGGTGTGTGTGTGTGTGTCAGAGAGAGAGAGAGAGAGAGAGAGAGAGAGAGACAGAGAGACAGAGAGACAGAGAGACAGAGAGACAGAGAGAGACAGAGAGACAGAGACAGAACAGAGAGAGACTTTAGCACTGGGGGCAGGGGAGACAAGTGGATCCTAGAAGCTCACTGGCCAGTCAGTTTAGCCAAAATGGAAAGCCTAAGATCCTTAAGATCCTGTGTCAAGAAATAAAATGGGCTGGGTAGTGGTGACACACACCTTTAATTCCAGCACTCAGGAGGCAGAGGCAGGCAGATCTCTGAGTTCAAGGCCAGCCTGGTCTACAGAGGGAGTTCCAAGATAGTGTCGGAGTTATACAGAGAACCCTTGTCTCAAAACAACAACAACAACAAAAAACAAAACAAAACAAAAAAGGATGGAGTGTGATCAAGGAAAGAAGGAAAGACACTTGACATCAGCCTCAGGCCCATCCACACTCAAATATGCACCAGCACCCCCCACTTGAGTGCATACTGAACACATACACACATACATGTGCACCAGCACCCACACATGTACATAACACACACACACACACACACACACACACACACACACACACACACACACAATTTCTCATGAAAGAAACTAAAACTTTGTTTTTTGCTTGGGTAAGGCTTCACTGAGAAGCCCAGACGTTAACGCTTAAATGATGGTGGTGTCTCCTGCTGATCACTTTGTAAAGCAGGTCTCTGGGGGACACCACTACTTTCTTGAGATATGAATAGGCATAGAAGATTCTGGGTGGGTGGGTGGGGTCACATAATTTTGGATAGTATAATCAACCCCCGACAGTCTAACCCTCAAGCAGCTGCTGTTTGCCTCTGCGTCAGGCGTCATACCCCATCTTTGTGCCCTGAGCTGACACCTAGGATCCTTCCAATTTCTGCTTCTGTGTGATGGAGATCAGGAGCAAAGTCCCAGAGGCAGACACATCTGAGTTTTAAGATTGCCAGTAAGGGGTTGGTCACTGATCCCTGATTGCAACATAGGTCCTTCTGATAGAACGAAGGTCAGTCCAAACTGCGGCAGGCATTTAAAGCGTGTGCCCCACATACACTCCTCCGGGTTAATAGGCAAAAGGTCGACGCAATCACATGGTCTCTTGCCCCCAATGGGAGCCTATTGCCATCTAGTGGTAAAATGGCCAAGACGATCATGACTGGTTTGGGTTTAACGTAGGAATTAGGGAAGGAGTTTAAAGACTAGACTAGACTCCCACCCGGGGGGACTGAGACTCCAGTCCTGCCTGCCAGTCCCTTCCGCAAGCCCCTCTGCTTTATGCCCTTGTCTCACGTCCCAGCTAAATCCTACTGCCGTTGACAAGTCAAGGTCTTGTGAAACGAGAGCCTTCACAGCAGCCCTGTTCAGCCCAGACAGAAGTCAGTCCCTCCAGGTCTCAGGAGCATTCCAAATGCCCCATGGTATGATGATGTCATGTGAATCCGTCTTATTTCCATGTAGTTCCCCAAGGGCAGGGGTCACATCTTTCACCATGCAGGTACAGGCCCTCGTAGATGAAACTGGCCCCCAATACCGTGCTGAATGCACAGGTTGCAAGGAGTTTCCCCACCAGCCAAAATGTTAGGTCTCCGGAAAGAAACAAAAGATCTGGGTGCAAGAGCCAGGATCCCCTCCTTCTGGAGCTGACTTCCCACTCTCTAGCGAGGGAGAACATTCAAAAATCATTTTCCTAGTCAGGTGTGGGGGAGCACACCTGTAATCCCAGAATGCAGGATATGGAGGCAGGAAGATCACAAGTTCAAATCCAGCCAGCAAATTGTGGACCAGCCTTAGTCACCAGCTACTTAGTGAGAACCACCCCACCCTCCCCACCCCCCACCCCCCTATCCCCTGCTGCCGCCCTGTACGCACGAATGTGCAGGCGCAAAAAAACAAAACAAAACAAAACAAAAAAACAAAAACAAAAAAACTTCAACTTGCTAAATGGATAAAATAGGGGATCAGACTACAAATGTCCCATGATTCAAAATATGTAAAATTGAAGTACAGTCTTTATGACAGCCAGATATGTAAGCATAATGGCGAAACAGCAATAATGGTTATTGTTTAGTTCTTTAAAAATTTTTTTTTTTACTTCTTCAATTAAATAAAACAATGGTATTTGAAAAGACAACTCAGGATCCATTTGTCTGCAGCAGAGATTCACACAACTCGTGAACAGCCCTGCTTAGCCAATCAATGGCTGACTTTGTTTACCCAGTTGCCCTGGTACCGGTTTCCCGGGAGGAAGCAGGTATGCAGGACCCCAGCTTATCTCCTCTCCCTAGTGCAGACGGGGAGTTTGCAGTGACCCACATGACCAAGGCCCACGTCTTCTTCACGGGCACCGTGCACTGGGTGCCCCCGGCCATCTACAAGAGCTCCTGCAGCATCGACGTGACCTTCTTCCCCTTCGACCAGCAGAACTGTAAGATGAAATTTGGCTCCTGGACCTATGACAAGGCCAAGATCGACCTGGAGCAGATGGAGCAGACGGTGGACCTGAAGGGCTACTGGGAAAGCGGCGAGTGGGCCATTATCAACGCCACCGGGACCTATAACAGCAAGAAGTACGACTGCTGTGTGGAGATCTACCCCGACGTCACCTACTACTTCGTTATCCGCCGGCTGCCGCTCTTCTACACCATCAACCTCATCATCCCGTGCCTGCTCATCTCCTGCCTCACCGTGCTGGTCTTCTATCTGCCCTCCGAGTGCGGAGAGAAGATCACGCTCTGCATCTCGGTGCTGCTCTCGCTCACCGTCTTCCTGCTCCTCATCACAGAGATCATCCCGTCCACCTCGCTGGTCATCCCACTCATCGGCGAGTACCTGCTCTTCACCATGATCTTCGTCACCCTCTCCATCGTCATCACGGTCTTCGTGCTCAATGTACACCACCGCTCCCCCAGCACCCACAACATGCCCACGTGGGTGAGGGTGGCCCTGCTAGGCCGGGTGCCCCGCTGGCTGATGATGAACCGGCCCCTGCCACCTGTGGAGCTCCGTGGCTCTCCGGGTCTGAAGCTCAGTCCTACTTATCACTGGCTGGAGACCAACACAGATGCTGAAGAAAGGGAGGAGACAGAGGAAGAGGAGGAGGAGGAAGATATATGTATGTGTGGAGGTCTCCCAGACGCCCCTGTGGGTGTCCTCTATGGTCATGGCAATCTGCATCTGAGGACCCTGGGGCCTGAGGCCAAGGCTCCATCACAGGATAGTGAGATCATGCTGTCACCTCAGATACAGAAGGCACTAGAAGACGTACACTACATTGCTGACCACCTGAGGTCTGAGGATGCTGACTCTTCGGTGAGTTGGGCTGAGGGAGGGGTCCCTCCGTGGGTGATTCTGCCAGCTTAGTAGGGAACACTGCCACCCCAGGGCGTCAGCTTGGATAACCCTTCCCTTCCTGTAAGGACCAGTGTCTCTCAGTCATGTCTGTGGAGTCGGGACCCTATCACAAGAGAGGCACTCTAGCTGGAGGTTATTTGGTCACTTCCTGGCCAATGGCAGAATACCACAGGGCCCGTCACCCTCTGCTCCACCTAATGGGAGAGGGTGGTTAGAGGCTTCGGCGCTCAGATGCTGGTCTCCCTCTGCATGGCTCTTGCTGGCCAGCCTTTCTCGGGAGGAGGTAGGGGCAGGTAAAGGAGTGAGGGAATGCTGTCTACAGAGACAGAAGCCAAGTACAAGTGGCCTCAGTGTGTCACTGGTCTCCACACTCCCCTGTGGCAGAAGAACTCCTCCATCTGGACTCTGAGCATTGTGTGACCTTTCCCTATTCACTCGTAAGCCCCGCAGACTCTGAACAGCATTGGACTGAGGGAGGGCTGAATGAGGGTGGGCTCTCCTTTCCAAGGCTGCTCATAGTACTTAGTGTTCAGAACCTGCTTTATCCCCTTACCAACCAAGGGAGGGATGAAAGGCCCGAGGTCACTGTGGGGTGACCTGATTGAGTGGATGAGAACATTATCACTCACTTGTAAATGTCTAAGAATTTAGATCCTCTGCTATGAGTGGAAGAGCCGCAGAGACCCAGCTCTTCCACGCTGACCTACCCTGGGCCACAAACTGCCTCTTTCTGCCCCCTGCAGGTGGGTGGGGAGGTAGCACAGCATTTGGCAGCTACAGAGCTGCTGTGAGTTACATTTAAGTTCTTCTGATTTGGAGGGCCCAAACCCTCTTGGTGGCCCTCGCACCTTCTCGTATCCCTCTGGACTCCTACACTTGGGAGTACGTGGACATAGGGAAAGATAGAATGGGACTCCCAGGGATGCGTCAGCCCTGAGCTAAGTCTGCTTTCTCCCTACACCCATCTCTATGCCTGGGGTAACCTCAGCTTCCCAAGCCTTCAGTATGGCTGGTGACTGCTGCCTCCATGGGGCTGGGCATGGGAAGGACACTTCTTCCCAAAGCCTGGCTTTTGTTACCATAAGCCTGATTCTAATTTCAGGTGAAGGAAGACTGGAAGTATGTGGCCATGGTGGTAGATCGGATATTCCTCTGGCTGTTCATTATCGTCTGCTTCCTGGGGACCATTGGGCTCTTCCTTCCTCCATTCTTGGCTGGAATGATCTGATTTTATGTCCTCTAGGTTGGTTCCAAGGTGGCCTTGACAACCATCTTCTGGTCTTCTCTAACTGGAGCCATCTCTAGCATGTTCTTTTGGGTCAATACCATCTGTCTGCTGTGTTCCTATGAGGCTCCCAAACTAGTCTGGACTTCAGATCCTCTTTGGAACAGCTCACAGTGACATTGTCGTGCCAAGTGCTGAGACCACTCAACACAATCCCTGTTTAGGGATGCTGAGGAACTAGAAAGGGTGAAGGCATTTCCTCTGCGGAAGGTGACGATATGGCAGTGACTTGAGGGAGGACAAGATATTCCTGAAAGAGCGATAGGAACTGTATATGAACCAAAGCATCGAACAAAGGGATGGAGGGGTCAGACCAGGGCAAAGAGAAATAGAACAGCACCCCAAAGATGGGGACTTGGGGACACAGGGAGCACCTGGACGGGGGAGCTCTGAACAGCACTTTGGATTCAGTGTCAGAGAGGACAACTTGGGATGGGGAGCCTGGGAAGGCAGGTTGGGGTATCTTTAATCCAGACCGAGGACAAAGTTCAGAGTCTTCTCGGAATGTGTCTCTGCATGTTTTGTGAGGTAATAGCAGTGGCACAAGGCTATTTCCAGGAGGAGTGAGGCACAAAAGTTCTCAACCTGAAGGTCTCGACCCCTTTCACTTATCAGATATTCTGCATATCAGGTGTTTATATTATGATTCCTAACAATAACAACATTACAGTTATGAAGTAGCAATGAAACAATTTTATGGTTGTGGAGGGGGTCACCACAACAAAAGGAACTATATTAAAGGGTCGCAGCATTAGGAAGGTTGAGAACCACTCGTCTAGATGTCCTGATGGATGCTTGGGGCAGAGGGATGGCATGGAACTGGGTGGAGGTGGCTGGCCCATTGTTCATCTGAAAGCCCCTTTGAGCCCCCAGGCTGCCCTCAGCAGCATGTCTCACTGTTCTGGGCTGCAAAGAGGTCCAGTAATTGTTGCCAGGGGTCAGGGCCACTTTCAGATCACCAGGGGACACACAAAGAAGGCAATCTGCATGGTTGGGACCCCTCTTGTCACTCACAGGCACTGGTCCCGAGTCCCTCCTCTGTCAGCACGCTTTGCAAAGGAACTGAGAACTTCGCTTCAAGCTCTTTAGATTACGTCCTTCAGGGCAGGGTCTCGGCTTTTACATTCTCTCCAGCCCAGCCCCACGCTGGGGGATAGAACTCAGCACCTGGACCGTTCGTTTACTCTGAGCAGTGGAAAGAGATGAACAGGGTTGCTCTGTTCTCCTCCAGGACTGCTGTGTAATGTCACATCTTCAGGGAGCTTTCTTCTCCACCCTTCCCTCAGTCCCATCAGGTGGCTAACCTGCTCTGAGCTGTCCTGTGCAGCACGTTCTTGCATTTGGAGCATTACAAGACCCTCCACGGCATAGGAGCCCAGGGGATCAGGCCTCTCAGAACATCGTTCAGTCCCTGAGGAGCCAGACCTCAGAAGCTAGTAGCAATAGCACCCCAGATTGCTAACAGATATAGAGACCAAGGCAGGAAGCAGAGCAGCGCAAGCTCCTGGCTTCGCTGTCTTAGGGTGCTCTCTTTCTGAAGCCCACACATGGCTCCTTGACAGACTCCTAGGGGAAGCCTGCTTCCCAAAGGCCTCACCTGGACACCCTGCTATCAGTTCCCATGAGTCTGCACTCAGTCACCAATTCAGGTCTTGGCTCCTCCTTCCTCCAGTGAACGCAGCCTGCAGCCTCCCCTCCCTCCGTTCCAAGCCCTCAGACGGGCTCCCCTGATGGGGAGATGCTCGCCGTGTGCTTGCCCACATCCCATCCTCCTTGCATGTGAGCGAAATAAAGCTGAGATGGCTGCTCTCAAAAGTGTCATGCCTTCCTGCCAGCCACCTCAGCTGCCACTGGCATCATCTGGTCCCCTCCAGAGTCAGGGTGGTTTGGGGACACTCAGGGGAGGAATGTCCCACAGAGGGAACTACACCATGTCTTCCTGGAAAGCTCCTTTGGGATGTGTTACCACTACTGCCTACATGGGGCAAAGGGCAGGAGGCCACCCCACCCTCCTCATGGGCTGGGGCTCCAGGTCAGCTTCCTCCCACAGAGAGCGGATCAAATAAACGATACAGTCAAGCTAACCACAAAGCAAATGGTAACGAGTTTAATTCAACCACAGATCAAAAAGAAGGGCGGGAAATGAATGTTCTCCACAAACACATGAGGGAGGAAAGGAGCAGATGTGAAAAGGGAGAAGAGAAAAAGAGGAGTAAGAAAAGAGGGGAGAAGAGAAGAGGGAGAAGAGAAATGCAGGAAGGACGCCAAGTCCCGTTCTGACCTCCGACTCTCGACTTCTTCCCCATGGCGCTGGGTTTGATAAAAACACAGAGCCCTGTGGACAGAGCGGTTTGTTCCTGGACTACAGCCCATGGCTGTCTGTCCAGGCCAAACACACATTAAATAAATTCCAATATACACTGTACAAGAGAGCCAGGCCCAGCCCTCATCTCACCGGCCTCTCTACAAATAAAAGCCCCTCTCTGTCCCCTCTGAGTCTCCTGAGGGGTAAAGAGGAAGAGGAATACTGGCCCTCAAATGTCCATGCAGAAAGCCATCCTGGCTGGTCGGGGTATACCTGTGACCCCAGTGATACTCCAGCACACAGGCTGGGGTAGGAGAGAGCGGCTGACGGTGGTACCCTATGAACTATGTCACCCCACCCTGTGTCTGTGCCCAGAGTCGTGTCTGTCCAGAAGCAGCCAGAGCAGCACAGTCCGGGGTGGGGTGGGGAGGGGGGAGTCGTGCAAAGTGGTGAGGGGAAGACTCTCCTCAGCCTTCCCTAGAAGACCAATAACCAAAGGCAAGGCAGCAGGAAAGGTACGCCATGACAGGTTGGGGCAGAAGATGCAGGCAGGCAGCCCCTCCCTTGATCGATCACTCCGCAGGTGGGCGGGCCAGATTGGCCAGAACCTTGGCTTGGTCCACGGCATCCAGCAGGTTCTTGGCATCCACGGCCAGGGTGTGGGAAGCTGTGAGCATCTGCCTCTTGCAGTCCTCACTCAGGGATGTTACAGCGTTCTGCTGAGCCAACCTCATCTTGTTGATGAGCTCTGCCAGGTCTTTGTTGAGAAGTTTCTGGGTCCCTTCAATCTGGTGGGCAAGCACACGGGAGAGGCTGCATGAGTGATGGATCAAAAAGGGTGTTGGCTAAGACATCTGGGGGCCAGAGTTACTCCAAGCATGGGCTGAATCCTGAATCCACCCCTCTGCACAGGCTGGAGTTGGTCACCAGCCCCCTAGCCAACCAGGTGCCAGCCATGCCAGACTGAACCGTATAGCGCTCTCCTTCACAGCAGCAATCCCTGCACGCTGGTCAGAGGTCAAACACAGTCACCTCCCTTGATGGATAATCTTGATTGTCAAACGATGGCATTTAAAGTGACAATGGGAACACAGCCCTGGGCGCATCTGTGAAGGAGTGTCTAGACAGGATTAACTGAGGTGCGGAGACCCACCCTAATGATAGGTGGAGCCATTCCACGGGCTGAGGTCTCGGAATGAATAAATAGGAGACAGTGAGCATCACCAGCATTTACCATTTTTCGTCTTCCCGACGGTAGATGCAATGTGAACAGTCACCTCACACTGCTTCCACCATGCCTTCCCTACCATGATGAGCCAGGGAAACCTTTCCTTCCTTCTGACATTTTCCTAGGGTATTCTGCCATAACCATGAGAAAATTAACCAAAGACCTATGCTTTAACCTGTCTGTTGTCAAGTAAAGAGACCAGATCCCACATTTATTCATTTAACCACTGCATTGCTAGTGCTTAGCATGATGAATGCACGGCACGAAAGCTATCTCCCTAACAAAATGAATGAATTGGTCATGCCAAACCCTCCCAACAAACCCGCACTGGGAAATTCACCCAGTGAGTTGTCCGGGTTCTCAGGAGCCATCTCAGCCCTCTGGCGGTGGCACCTGCCCAGCTGGGACTCCTTACTAGGTCACCCAGAGGCTAGCCGGCCCCGTCCCTGCTCTGTTAAGCCTTGGGAAACCATGAGCAGGAGAGGGCACATGATAGGCTATGCCACATAGACGACCACTAGGAGTCAAGGCAACAACACGCTGTATTTTTCTGGACAAGAAATCGATCCGTTTCCCATGGCTACAAGAACACAGCAGTGCAAACTTTCCATGTTCATTACTGAACAGTCCTGGAGGTCAGAATTCTGAAAGGAGTGTCCCATGGGAGGCTGAGATCGCCAACAGAGTTATGTTCTGGTGAGAGAGTCCAGGGGAGAGTCCCTTGCCTTTTCCAGCTCCGAGGCTACACCTCCCTTAGCTGTGGCCCCATTCAGCAGGGGCATTCCGCTGACTTCAGCTGCGGTCCTCACAGTCCCTTGTCTCTCTGACTCTGACACCCTCCCCCTGGATACTCCATCATATCCTCTCCTTCTGGGGACCCTTATGTTGCTGGAGGGCTTCTCTCCAGGTTCCCCAAGCCCCGCAGTCCCACAATCCACTTATAAAATAATCACTCAGATGCTTATATCACTTATAAACTGTATGGCCGTGGCAGGCTTCTTGCTAACTGTTCTTTTATCTTAAATTAACCCATTTTTATAAATCTATACCTTGCCACGTGGCTGGTGGCTTACCGGCGTCTTTACATGCTGCTTGTCCTGGCCGTGGCTGCAGTGTCTTCCCCCTCAGCCTTTCGCTTCCCAGAATTCTCCTCTCTCCTTGTCCCACCTACTTCCTGCCTGGCAACCTACTTCCTGCCTGGTTACTGTCTGAATGTACAGCCCCTTAGGTCTTAAAGGCATATGTCTCCAATGCTGGCTGTATCCCTGAACACACAGAGATCTATGGGATTAAAGGCGTGTGCCACCCTTATTTTTAACAGCTCAATAAAGTTCCTTTTGCCACGTAAGACACTCTGCATGTGGGTAACCACTTTTGGGACATCACTCTGCATGCCCCCAGGCATCACTCCATCAGAGAAGCAGGACTTACCCTCAACTTTAGCAGTAGTTCACTATCTATGGCATATCTACCTTAACCTAAGTGCACAGGCTCACTGGGCAAGGGACGGTGGGAGAGGAGGGGGAAAGGTATGCTCCTCCTTGCAAACATCCATTGAGGTCATCTGAGACCTGGACTGGGATTTTCACTAATTCCCAGAGCAGGCTCAGCCCTCTGGTGCTAACTGCTCCGATGCTCTGTGGAGATATCTGTTGGGAGAAATAAGGCTGCCCAGGTGGCCCCAGTGAGCCTCTGGTAGGAATTACAGCTGGGGACAGGAGGAGGCTCAGGAGGTGTGGCTGGGAACAAGGACACTCACCTCTGTTCTAGAAGATGATGGTAAGGAGGGTAAGAGATCGTCCACACTGCCGATGAGCTTCCGCAGGTTCAGGCCCACATTCTAAGAGAGCAAGAGCAGGGCAGCTGTCTCTCTTGCTTTCTGAGAAAGCTCCTCCTCCCGGGGCTGCACTCTGGGATGGCATCTGCCCTCTGAGACTGCCTGGGTTGCACTCCCAAGGGTCCCCTTGTTCCTCTGGGGTCTGTGGGACTGGCCATTAGTGGGGCACAGTAGTTTTCCTTCCAGGGCTGGGCAGCCCCTACCTCCCTGACCCACTCCCACCTTGTCAGTTACCTTTACCACCACGACATAGTCCTCAGGGGGCAGCTGGCTGAGCCTGTTCTTGAGCTCCAGCACGGCTTCCACCAGCGTCATGACATTGTGGTACACGGCGTCATCGGTCCTGTCCAGGTTGGCTGTGGGCTGAATGGACTGAAAGGAAAGAGTGGATGGCCTGTGGCTCATGGGGGACCAGAAGGGCCCCTCTATCACTCCTATACAATCAGTGAAAAGACCTCTTTTGTGTAACAACAGCCCCCCTTTCTGCCTCTGGGGTCATCATCCTCCAACTGGCGGACCCAAACAGAATGCTGGTGTGTTAACAAAACACGCAGTCACACCAACTCAGTCTAAACATCATCTGGTCCACACTGTCTTAACATTTCTCAGGTGATCTTTGTGGGAAGCTGACATTGAGAATACACATTCTGGAATCAAGAAAACCAGGGACAGTAGGATGCTAGAATCTGGGGTAGGGCTCAGGGAGAGAAGAGGCCCTGATACTCCTGATACTAGGCTGAACCAATGAGACATTTTCCCTGGTCAGGGAAGAGACCAGGAGGTTAAAAAAACAAAACAAAACAAAAAAAAAAAAACAAAAAAAACAAAAAACAAAAAAAAAAACAAAACAAAACAAAAAAAAAAACTGGTTCCTTTCCCATTTTGTCACAAATTAGCTATGAGGCCTCAGGCAAGGTACATCTGCTCTCTGGGACTCATCTCTACAACAATGACCCTGGACTGGATTATCTCTGAACCTTTCCGATCTATGGATTTGGGTGGCTGTAACCCCAATACATACCTGTGCACCGAGCCGCGGTGGCTTCTGTGGAGGCCCCGTGAACTCGGCTGCAACAGGAAGGACAGGGAGCAGGTGAAGGTCTCAGTACCTGGTCTTTCTCCTTCTACTTTCTTATAATCAAGCCAACTCCCCTTCTCTACCATCAGGAGATTCCAAGAGTGTAAAACCCAAATTCCGGGAAGATGACCAAGGAAATAGCACCCTGGTCTTCCTGACTTCCCAGCGGCTAATGGACAGGATCTGTCCATGGCATAGAAAGGAGAAGTCAAGGCAGGGACGCAGGAGTGCAGCGAGCGTAGGAGACTCCAAGCCCTGGTGTGCTTCCTCTAAGACGGGCAAGTTCCCGAGGAACAGCAAAGCTGGCTCTCAGCGTCGTCCGTGGAAAAGAAACCCGCAGCCTGCAGGTGGCGGTCTGTGCAGCCCACCCTGGTGCAGTGGCAGCTCGGGGGGGGGGGGGGCGGGGTAGATTTTAAGACATGCATGATGGTTTGTCATACTACTGACTCTACTCTGACGAGCAACGGCACACCCAGCCTGGGGGAGCCGGTGTGACAGTGGGCAGAGATGCAAGCCAGTAAGCTTCCTTCTCGCGTAACCGTCACACGGGAGCTCATTCCACCCAAGGCAGTTGTCTACACCCCCAGGCTTAATTTTCATCTGGAGAATGAGATCGTCGGCTCAGAAAGGACCTTGGAAC